CCATAGCGATCTCATGGATTCGTACCTCTCTAAACCAGAAAGCAAAGCTGCATTTCCAAATGGGCTGTCTCTGATCTCCAGTTTTCTCAGCTTTGGACAACCACTCATAACACACTGCATTCCCCAGTCACTGGTTCCAGCAAAAGCCACTGAGAGCGTTTCCAAGTTTTTCGCATATTTCCCGATGTATTCAAATGTTAAGTCCGTTAGCAAGCCCGAAATAGCGAGTCTACGTAGCTTAGAGCAAGTTTTCACGACTGCACCAAATGCCTCATCCATTGGTTGCTTTGTAAGATAGTCCGGTTGACAAGGGTTCATAATGCAGAGACGAAAATGGGTGAAATCTGGGCAGTTCTGCACAATGGTGGCTACAGCCTCATTCGTCATCTGGCGACAAAAGTAGAGAATGTAATGGAGTTTACGGCAGCCATACGAGACAGCAAGAAACCCCGACTCGGTTACACCATGAACCAAATTGTCAGCATAAGGATCGGCTGGAAATACACGGAGCTCCTCTAGCAACGGGCAACTTAGTCCAACAGCCTTCAGGCCCTTGTCTTCAACTGTGTCTAAAACCTGTTAGAGGTTCAAGTATAAAAATCATTGTAAACAGTCATGGAAGGAGATATCTCTTCTCCTAGGTGCCTGCATTGCACAATCCTTGCAGTTTCATTGATACTTAACTAAAGAAAGAAAGGGGAGAAATAATCATACCCAAAGGCGACGAAGAACGGGGCAGTGCGAAAGAAGTCCAGCAAGTTCACCACCGTGTAGCGTAGCATAGCTCAGATTCAAGAAAGTTAAATTCGCACAGGCAGGAAAAAGAACTTGGAGATACAACACCGTCGACTCCAATAAACCAGACAGAGTATGCAGATTATTGCAATTTTTAAAGGCGTGTTCGAGATCATAGTACTGCCGAAGAGTGATCTCTTGCGAAAAAGAACCCGTGCCCAACTCCGTTAACTGAGGAGCATGTACAAGCAGCCTCTGCAACTGTTCCAAGTTTATGTTCCTATTAACCTTCAAAACCTTCAATGATTTGCACCTTTTTACTAGCTTCTCGAGCGCCTCGAAACTGACATCACTGTTCAAACTTGCAAAGTTGAGTACTTCCAGAGATTTCAAGGTATCTGGGAAGCAACTCAGCCAACTTCCACTTTTGTCATAGATATCATTCTCAAGTATGTCAAGATCCGTCAAGTTCCTGTGGCCAAATTAAAGTCGGTTCGCTTTTTTCATCATAATGCAATAAAACACAAAAGAAACGAGATCGAAAAGACGAAAACAGACCGCCCATCCAAGAAAGAAATGTTTTTGCTAAACATCATTTTCAAGAACACATATTGAAAAACGCATTCAATTGTTGTAACAGTCCAGCTACCAGATATTGCCCTCTTTGGACTTTCTCTTTCGGGGTTCCCTTCAAGGGTTTGAAACGCATCTACTAGAGAGAGATTTCCACACACTTATAAAGGGAATCTCATTTGTAACAGCTCGAGCCTACCGCTAGCAGATATTGTCCTCTTTGAATTTCCCTTCAAGGCCTTTGAAACGCATCTACTAGGGAGAGGTTTCCACACCCTTATAAAGGGTGTTTCGTTCTCCTTTCCAACCAACATGGGATCTCACAATTGTTTTCTACTTCTGACAATCTGTTGGCATGGTCGTTTTCTATATCTATGTCAACATCTTTTAGAATTGATGATAATGCACTCCAAATGCCATTCAATAGCATTTATAAACAGCAGCCCGAGGAAAAAAGGCCCAACCCCCCCAGTTGAAGCTTCATTAAAGACTAAAGATTTAGGGAGCTGGCAGAATCAGAGCAGCCATGGCAGTAGTTGAAGATCAACGAGTAATCCTCCAATATTATGAGTAATTAATTAATTAAGGATGAACATGTTATTTGACAATAATGGAGACAAAGTTGCAAGGATGTGATATGGCAACGACCTTATTGGCAGAAAAAAGCAGGTGAGATGTCGCATCCAAGAAAAAAGGAAACAGATAATGAAAAAGTTAGTAAATTTCTCATCAAACTTCAATCAGGAGGGGAGCAATGAGGGAATTATACGCAGTACAATTGTGTATTTATTATGACTTCCATTTACTGTAAACCAATAAAGTTCTCTACTTTTCCATATGATTCCGACATGATACTGTTCGAGTGGTGTCCATCACCAACCCCATATAAAGCTATTTGAATGAAACCAAACCAAACCAAACCGAACATCGCTTTTAATATCAAAACCACTACAAAAACTGTAAAAGAAATCAATATTAGATCTCATCCTAATAATGAATCACAGTTTTTGAAAGAAAAAAAGAAAGAACAAACGACGTACTTGCAGTGAGTGGCAATGGCGGCGAGCCCATCGGTGCTGAAACCATCGCAGCTCATCAAGGAAAGCGCTTTGAAATTTGGGAAGGAACGAGCCAAAAATTCCAAGCTCTCGTCAGTTACAGTCATCCTCTTGAGCCTCAACTCTTCAAGAATTGGGTATCTTGAAGCGAAGGAAACGAGCCATGAATGAATATCAGCACCCCAATTGGGAGGCACCAAATTGAAATCCGAAAATCTGGGTTTCCCTTTCAGCGTCACACTCCGAATGTTGGGGAACCGTCGGATTACAATTTCCGGCGAAACAGAGTAGCAATTTCCGATAAAAACATGGGTTCGCGACCATCGCTCCGCGTTGAACCAATCTTTACAAACCAAAGATACAGAGCTTCTATCTTTGTGGGACTTAACCAAACTCAAAACTCTTTCCAAAACCTCATCTGGGAAGATCGAACCAGCCCGTTTGGACTCGTCCAAGTCTCCCAATTCCTTCTTCCTCTTGGAACTCATTTTATACCCTCGAACCCCTCACAACTAAAACCCCATAAGGAAATTCAAAGGGAACCCCCACAAACCTCTTCAAAATCGAAAATGTAGTTAGTTCTTTAGAAAACAAGAAGAAACCCAGAAATCTCCATAGAACAAAAGTGGAAGAGCTACAAAAAGGGGTAAGAAATTCAGAGATTTAGAAAGAGAGAGAGAGGAGCGAGTTGACTCAGGGGAGGTGTGTTGAAGAAGAACAAAAAATAACAAAAATGGGATCTTTTGTAGCGATTGGGAAGTGGGAAGAGCCAAAGTGAGAAACCCAACTAATTGCGTATTATAGAAAAAGGAAGAAGCACACCACAACTATCCCCTCCCCTAATCTCCCTCCATTTCTTTCCCCACCTTCCTTCCTTTTGTTTCGCGCGTTCTTCTCACGTCCAATGAACTATTGACACGTCAGCTCTTTCTTTTACTTAATTTTAAAAAAAAAAAAAAATTATTCACTTCTCATGGCTACCTCCTAATATCCCATTTAGTTTTAATAATTTTCATATAAATTAAAAAAAAAAAAAAAATTGAAGAGGAGGACAAAGAAATTATAAATGAAAATTATTAACCTACATTTTTCAATGGGCAATTATATGTGTAAGCGGCTCACTTCACCTCATCATCACATATTTCACTCCCTTTCCCCCGCTTTCTCCATTTTACCCTTCTACCCTCTCCCAAATTCCTCAAATACCCCTCCAATAAACATAGTATCTTAAATTATGTCTCTTAATTTTGCCTTTTTTTTTATTTTTTAAAATATTTAATAATCTTAAACTTTTTATTGCCGTTTCATTCTAAATTTTAAAATAATAAAAAATGATTATTCGAAACTTCAAGAAATTAAATATTAAAAAATAATAAAAAGTTAGTTAATTTAATTGCCACATAAAATGTGATGATTTGGAGATGGATAGCAAATGTGATCCTCAAACACTGTCGCCGTTGAATGCACGTCGGATAGCGACCCTTCATTTCTTTTACATTAATGACATAATTACGTGATTGGTCTTTTTTACCCCTCCTTTTCTTTAAAGTTCTCATCGGATCTTTCTTTTTATTTAGGGGGTCATCTTGTATTTTCACTTTTTTTTATGATTTAACACTTTGTATGCTTAATTATTTAATACTTCTATTTAATCTTTATTTTCCCAAATTACTGTTTGCTTAACTCCACAAATAAATATTAAAAGGTAGAAAGTTTTTTAAAACTAAATAATAATGATGTTGTGGAATAATAATAATAATAATTATTATTATTATTTTTGTAGATTTAAATTCTATTACATACGATGTATTTAAATAAGAAGATTAGTCAAAGCCACATTAACATCTAATCTAAACCTAACCCATGAAAACGAAATCAAAATCCAAAGAGTTTCAACTTAGTTCAATTAATTTTCCACTTTGAAAACTTAAATAAAGTTGATTTGACTCTAGTTGAATTGAAATTATTGAATTTTTCTCGTATAATTGAATTCAATGTTATTATCTTGACAAGACTATAAATCTATGTCTTAGATAATAAAAATGACATAAGTTATATATAATATTCTTATATTATTAAAAAAAAATGTTATATTGTGATGTAACATTTAGCTTCTTCATAAATAAATGGAGTAAACGAAACGTTCAAGTTTGATATGATTTTATGGATATCGTTATCAAGATCTTCGTCTAATAAAATTTTCAAGGATTCTTTTAATTAAAAGTGTAATTTTTTAATTAAAAAATCAACAATTATATATAAATAAATAAATAAATAAAGATTTTATATGCTTTGAATTAAGTGGAGGGCATTTGTCAAAATAATAATGATGATAAAGGTAGGGTCTTTATTAACCTAAGCCTCCTATTAAATTGCTTCTTTTTTCCTCCGTCTTTTTTGAACAATTAACTTGCTTTTCGGTCCCTTTTTATTTATTTATTTATTTTTTTTGCAATTAATTAATACGGATATTTTTAAAATTTTAATATTAATATATAACATTTTTCAAACTATTTATTTTAATATTATTGTGAGTAAGTTAGACATTAGTTTGTGACATAAATGAAAGGATATGCATGGTTCACATAGTGTATACAATCCCTAAATCTTATAATATATCTAATATTTGATGCATATTAGTAAGTATTTGATGTTATATGTAATGTTAATAATTGTGATTATTAGATACCAGACAGCCGTTTGCGTGGTAAGCATGGTTGGGATGGGAAAATGTGCGCATGGCAGTCACGTGCGAGAAGGAGAGAATCTGAAATCTGAAACCAAACTGGAGCAACTAATTATAAAAAGAAAAATGATAAACATCACGTGACAGCCTCCTCTTCAACTCCATCACCTAATCCAGACAGCTAATGCTCCCGAATCTCTATGATTAAAGATAATCATACACTAATTAAACATTAATTAATTTGTAACAGCTCATAACTGTATGGCTTCAACTCAAAACTGCATTTTCTTAATTAATCCGCTTCCATTTGCTTTACTTTTTCTCCAAAAATGAGGTAAACTAAAAGATAACTAAAATTAAAAAAAAATAAAAAAGGATATTCAGGAATGATACTTTTTTGAAAAGGGTAGCCTACTGTAAAAATGAATAAATATTGGAGGAAGATGGTGGGGCCCAATGGGTTTGGTTGGGCCTCTAATGTAATAACTCAACTCATTGGGCTTCATGGGCTTACCGCATATTATTCCTAATTAATAAAAATCGTAGAGGCCCATAATGGACATTGGCCCATAATGGGCGGCCCAATTCGTGGGCAAAATAATTGAATACTCAAATTTCTTTCTATATTATTATATATTTTAAAATTTGTTTTCCCTCTCTATGCAGATTCCAAACACACAGATATTCATGCAATTAATCCTTAATTAATGCACGTTAATTGAACCTAATCCTTACCTCCAGGGAAGCCTCATTTTTCGTGGGGAAACTCATCGGACTTTCTTATTGGAGAAATATCAATCTCGATCTCGATCAAATTGTCCTCCTCCAGCAGAAATTCCGATGCCTTCTTGTTCGTCTTATCCAACGCAATCTCGATGAGTTCATCTCTGTCTTCATCCTCATCCCACATCAAACACAAGTGATCGTCAAGCGAGTCCCAGTCTCCAGTCGTCGGGAAATTGTCCTCCGACGAGCTGTCGGAGTCCGTTTCCGGATAGTACAGCGATAGCGATGGATACCTCTCCAGTCCGATGCGTACCTGTCGAGGTTCTGGATCGCTCTCGTTCGATGCTTCCTTATCGTGATCTTCCCCTTCGTACTCCTCGTAAATAACCTCCAACGGCGCCCTCACGTTCCACTGTACGAAAGATTCCTCGAAGCACTTGCACGAAACAGAATCGGCACATTTTGATCCTCCACTTACGGACTCCGATACGGCGGTGGAACTCTCCGATTGTACTGCGGCGTCGTTCTCGGCGGATTCTTCGCATTCAATTTGATTGTTGTTGTCGTTGGTTTGGCGAAGAAACGATCTCTGAGTTGCACCGAGGCGAAGGAGAGAGAGCAAGAGGAATCCGGTGAGGAGGAAAATCGGAGAGAAAAGGATTCTCCATAGAAGGCGAGGGAAGTAGAGGAGAGTGAGAGCGAAGAAAGAGAGGAGAGTAGAAAGCAGAGGATCGGAGGTTATGGAAATGGAAACGGTAGGCGTGTTAGAAGAAGAAGAAGAAGAAGAAGAAGACATCTCTGCGATTAAATTAAAGGATGTCGACGGATTCATACAGAAAAATGTAGAATCAATCGGCGCATTCCATGGATGAAGTTTTGATAAATTGCAGAGAAGAAGGTGAAGTGATGATTGCTTTAGAACGGAAGGGGAAGGGCAGAGGAAGAGTCGATTCGTCGTCTCGCACGGAATGTGAACAATTTGATGATGGTGGTTTGCGATCTGTCGTACACTTCAGTTATAGACTTATAGAGTCCAATGACGGATGTACCCCTCTCATTCCCTTATTTATTTTGCATGTGGAGGGAGATTTTGAGTGAAATAAATTTATTTTTATTTTTAAACGAATAAGGGAAGAAATAACATTATAAATGCGACATCACACATGTAAAAAGGAGAGGATCCTCTCTTATGGTAGACGATGATACATAATGAGTCAAAGTGAACAATATATGATAGCGGTGAGCTTGAGCTGTTATAAATTATATCATAGTTACATTGAGTGAGTTGTTGTTTGCTATTATTATCGAAAATTAAGAAAGCAATAAAAGTGAATAATAAGGGCAATTGATGACAATATGAATATGAATTAAAGAAAAGTGTTATTTTCGTACTTGAGTAAGCTTAATGATCTATAAGAAAAAAGGGTTTGAATGAATAAAGTGGGAATAATGAATCCCAAAATATGAGTGTGAAAAGGGATTTGGATGGTAGCCATGTAAGCTGTAATTTTGGTGAAGAATTGAGGAGAAACCGGAGAAACACACATGATTAACAAAACTGCCTTTATTTCTTCCATACATTACATCCTCTTTCCATTCAATTATTTATTCCTTTCTCTTTCTCTCTCTCTTTAATGTCTGTTGCAAAAAAAGTAGTCTACTTTTCTTTGCTTTCATCTACAGCTACCACTCCCCCTTTTCTCTGTGACTTTCAACCTCTCTACCTTCCTTTCTCAACCACTTTCATGCCTATTTCTCATCTTCAATCCGAACCCATCGATCTTTAGAATGATAATTGATGTCGACATAAGATTCAGTTTCTTTGGTTTCCTTTTCCATGTCTGGTCATGGATTGGGTTGGGTGGAAGCTTTATTATGGTGCAAGAAAAAGCAATGGGTCAAAGCGAGGAGGGTCATCAATCAGAGAAAACTTGGCAGAAAATTCCCTTTTTAAAAAAGGAAAAAGAATGGTCTTTTGGCGTTTCATTTTCCCATGTCCATGTTTGGTTGGTCCTCTTTTGTTTCGGGTAAGGAAAACGAAGCTTCACAAAAGTACCAAAGCTTTACTTTTAAGAAAACGATAGAATAAATGATTATATATGATTGATTATGAGGTTCAATAACAAGGGCCTATAATTTGAATGCTAATTATGGAGATCTTCCTTTTTAAAGGCTGAATATGATCAAACAATCAGCAGAGCTCATATTTTGAGCTTCTTATTATTTGGCATTTGGTTGGGTGTGCTGAAATTGGAAAAGGCATGGAAACGGTAGAAGGGTTAATATGGGTTGATGGCAGACAAGAGATCTAGCCCATCAACTCTGTGTTGAGTTGACGACAGTGAGGCCGTGGGGTGGGGGGTGGCTGCTTTCTTAAGGATGTTCGTTCTGCACATGCTTCTGGGACCCTTTTCATTTCATCATCTCTCTGGTAATGGTACAGCCCCAATCCCATAGTTAATAATGCAGTAAACCAAGTGGCAGAAGTTTAGCTCAGCTTAGCTTTAAAAGTTCTTGAGAAATGGAGATAAAAAGAAATTAGATGTTGGGCTTGAATGAATCCAATCCAATCCAATCCAATCCAAACTCATTTATAGCAGCTTATAAATTGTAGCTTATTTTAGGAGGAACATAGAAAGGAAAAAGAAACTGAAACCTCCAAGGAGACGAAATTTCAGGGTCGCCAGTTCATGAGTCCAGCTCCTACTCCAACATTTCCACATGTAATTGGGAGTTCATACACTCCATTCCGCCAGTAAAAAGCAGTGCCAACAGCTGTCAATTAAAGTCGAGCCTTTCTCTGATGATTTCCAGCTCTGCTTAATTCCCCATACGTTACAGATCATTCCATCACACCGCCAAAAGGGAAAGAATGAAAATCAAAAACAAAAACCCATTTCATCAATTATGGAAAAAGTATTCAAAATCGAATCAAAACAAGCATAGGTTAGTTATGTATGAGCTATTACCAGCTGCGCAATCAACAAGCAATTCACATGGGGTGAAGGCAAAAACAGATCATGCTGTAAATAGTGACACAAAACTACGAGGAAAAAATATGATTTGTTTTTATTCGACAGGGAATGAATGAGTGAGTGCAATAGTACAATGTAGTGTTCATCAAAGCTATCAGAATTTAGAAGGGACTAAACCAAAATGCTACCCTACCCTTGTAAATGAATTTCCTAGAACCTTATACCTACCATCAGTTTTTGTCTCTGTAATACATGTATGAAAAAAAAACAAATGAAATGCATTCTTTTTCTAACCCCCCCACCATCTTCATCTTCAATGAAAGATTTGAAGAATGGATCAGTGGAAAGGTCCTGACATGTACAGCTTCACAAGCAGGATCTGAGATTTCAGATCAGTTTCTTCCTACCAGCATCGCGTAATTTCTACAACAGCATTAGATATACAGATGTATTTACAGAGCCCTCTGGGTTAATTCATATCTGTCTCAATGGGCAACTTTTTCTTTGGCCATTGTTCTTCTTATGCGAATAAGGCCACGGAAATGTCCGCGAGCTTCTTCCTGTTTAATGACCTAAATCGTCTAGTGGTTGGAGCATTTGGGGCTTCAATCTCGTCAAGATCGCTGGAGTTATCGAACACAAAGGCGCTGCGAAATGCACGGACCTTTGAGGGAGTGCTGTAGGCGAAATGCCATTCTTTTGCAATCAAAGTCTGTAAACGAAATAGAAACCCTAAATCGATGAGAATCAAAAATGAACGGAAACAAATGGAGTGAATAATGATGCGAGTGATATTTACCGCTTCTCTAATTGTTTTCGAAATGCGGATTAGCTGTTTCAAATCATCATGGTCTACACCGCAGAGTATCCTAATCTGATGGAGAGAACAAAGGGGGAAAATCAATATAGAAACAGAAGTCGAAAGAGGAATTGCGAATGTGAAGATTTGATCATTTCGAAGCAATTTAATCTACAGAAATTTGAACTAACCAGAATCTCCTGAGGCAGGGTCTCGAGCAGAGACTTATCGGTGCCCACCGTCGTCCTGACGGCGCTGCAGGGCCTCTTCGACGATGCCTTCGGCGTCAAGTAGATGGACGAATCATCCTCATTGCATGAAATAACAATCCTCTTCCTTCCTAAACCACGCGTATATCTCACAATTCCGAAATCCAGTCCAGTATCGGCAGCAGAGACGACGCTTTTCGATTTTAAACAACCGCTCTTCTTTCCCAACGCCATTTTCAATTCCCAATATCGAATTAAACTAAACGTATTCGGTTATCTGTATCAACGAGAAAAAGAAAATCAATATCAATCATTAAGAACTGATAAAATCCTAACCAAATGGAACCGAATCCATAGATTAAGAGATTCACAGAGGTTCAAGAACCCTAACAAAAATCTGATAAAAGCAAAACAGCTTCTCCAGAGAACAATTTCCAAAAGCAGAGTGAAAGTGTCGAATAAGGAAGAAATCTAAATTTAAATCCGAAGCGAAACGAACCTGATTGTGGATGGCCGTGGAGATTCGAATATCTCTCTCTGTCGCTCTCTGTTTTTGTTTCAATTTCAAAGAAAGCTTTTGCTATGGAAATGGAAACTCAGCAAACTACGGAGTTGCTTTAAAATTGTCCATATTCTGTCTTATATAGTACTCGAACAAGATAGAGTTTCTCGCTTTTCAAAAATTAGAAAACAGTAAAATATAATTAAATTTATTTTTTTTTAGTACCCCACGCGCTTTACAGAATCCGCTGTCATTTATCGTCTTTGGCGGTTAAAATATAAGTGGAGGAAGGAGGAAAAGAAGGAAAAAACTAGCCGTTGGAGTAGTGGGACACGTGTTGGTCTCTAATGGGAGGGAATTAACCTGGATGCTTCAGTGTGATGACGTGGAGATATGGTCGGTCCAAGTCGGCGGTGTCGGTTCCTTCCCGAACACTCATTTCAAAATTTTTAATTTTTCTTTAAAAAAAAGAAAGAAAAAAGAACACTGGTTATAAAAGTTAGGCAACCAAGAGGAGAGGAGAGACGTGTTGATTAAGCTAGCTCTAAGCCACTGCCGACCCAACAACAAGGAATGTGGTTTAAACTCTGCCGGCTAGTAGTGATTGCTTCTGACTGGAGCCGATGTATTCTAATAAGGCGGGCGGGGGGGCGGCGAAGGCCATGGCTTGGCGGTTGTTTGTGGACTCAGATTTAATATTCACAACGCGTAGGACCGATTTCATCAATAAGGAATTAAAATAAGGGAAAATAATGGTGTTACCTTATCCTCTTTCAAAACATTCACCCTCCATCACTATTGTCTCCATACCTTCTAATGTTTCATAATATTAATTCGATTCTCCCCATGTCCTCTATCAAAAACATTATTGCTTGTCATGCGGTGATTCGGGTTCGATCTCGACAACGACACTGTATATTTTTATAATTGGACTATGTTGTTGTATTTATTCTTCAATTCCTAACCAACTGAACTATAAGGATGATAGAGGATAGTTATGTTGACCCAAATGAACAATCATGATTCGGTTAACCCAAATCAACGGTTCAATTTCTATCACATGAATGAACATGTTGGGTGGGTAGTTTTTTTTTTTTTCTTTTTTTTTTTAAGATGATATTTACGGTATTTATAATTTATACAATTAATTTTATATCTCCGACCGCATAATTGGGCCTTACATCCATAAATCCATGATCACATAATTGGGCTTCTTTCAGTCACTTTGAATTTATTTCTCCGTCTCTTTTTGTTTTCCAATCGCCACACGCAGATGCCGTAAGCAGCAATAATAATACGTGCGAGCCACACGCAATCTCTCCACAGACTTCTTCTTGTAATCTCCGGTGTCCCTGCCACGGTGGAGCACAATCGACGGAATAAAATATTATCAAATAAAATTATTTTTTTAAAAATAATAATAATAAAGAAACATATAAAAATTTTACGGAATCTGAACAGCGAACAACGGCCTTGCTTAGCTACCCGTCGTCGAGCGTACGGTCTCGGTTCCGAACCGGGCCTGCTAGCCTTCTGTGTCTAAACGGCCACGTTTCTTTTCCCGCCGACCACCACCAACACAAACCCGCCATATTCAGATAAGAAACCGGAGTTCAGTGGATTGTCACTATTCCATTCTCTTCTGAAAAATGGATCAATCCGGAGTTCCAGAGCCTGTCCTTAACCACCGTCTCCTCCTTGACGACGGAATCGTCACGCCAATGATTCTCACAGCTGACGGTTGGCTTCGGTGGTCGGAGAAAGGCCAACAGTCTCTGGCCATTGGGAAAGAGGTTATAGGATTGTCCATGGATGGTCCAAAGATTAGGATCAAAGCTCTCGTTGAGGACCGTGGTGGATTGTGGTGCTTTGGGAGCAGCGGAGCTTTGGTGAGGAAGGAGTCTGTGTTTCAGCCCCGTGAATGCAGCGATTTGCTTGGTAACACGATCGTCCACAATTCTGTCTGGTTTTAATATTGACTTCGAGTAGTTTAGAAAACGCATTGAAAGGAGGAGAAGGATTTTGCTGTGTTCTGATTTGTTTCTGCCTGCTGATTGCCATAATGATTTAATGTTTTCGTTTCTCTCCTACATCTCTCAAGAGCCAAACGGAAACTCATAATCTAATACTTCGTGTTTTATGCTGTTCATTCGGCTTAATTTCAAGACCAAGAGAAATCTTCTTATTGCGATTTTTCTCATTCCAAATTCCCGTCGTCACATGTTAGTTACGGAATAGGATGAATAATGTCCGTTAGTTTTTCGGCTGATTAAGAGTTGGAGAACACTCCAGGATCATCGGCGTTTTTAGTGCTTCAAACTTGTTCTGCATAGTGTTCCTTTCCATTGTTTTCTGGAATAATGGCAACTCTGTTTCAAACTTGGTCTTTTTTGTTTGCTTAGGTGCCTTTATCTTTCTTTTCCCCCTATTTCCACGTTCTTACAAGCATCACATTGTTTAGTAGGTAATAAACGGATTGCTAAGGCGAGATGATTGGGTTGATGCAATAAAGATGCCTTTAGGAGTAGTGCCTGCAGGTATCGTATTCTTAGCTTGTTCGTCTTTTTTTAATATTACAACAAGAATTTGAACTTACTACATTTGAAGGAGATGTTTAAATGATATGCAGACTGGAATTGTAATGACAATGAATCATATCTAGTGAAAGAACGTTGGTGTCTGATGGCGCTCGATTTCTCAGATTTCCCCCTTAACCAACGAAAAGACACTCCCATTCTATTAGCATTTATTTGAGTTCCTTGTTTGGATGGTTAACATATGAATGATTGGAACAACAAAATTTCTGATAGTATTTATTGGGGTTCTTATATGTTTAGGCGCTGGAAATGGAATGGTGATATCACTTCTTCATTCAAATGGGGCCTTTGTACCGCATGCAATGCTACTTTAGCCATCCTTCAAGGTTAGTATCGTTTTGTCAATTTCCTTTCCCTGTAGTTTCCCCCCATCTCCAATGTTTATCTTATGATCGAGGTATTTTGCAAACAAATTTTAATTTCTTGCAGGCAAACAAATTTTAATTTCTTGCAGGCCATAAATGTTCATTGGATGTTGCCACCATTTTGCAAGGAGAGGCTAAACATTTTTCTGTGTTGATGCTTGCTTGGGGTATCTCTAACTTTAAATCTCTCTTTAGTGTTACCACAGGGTAGTTGAGGTTAATTTGTCCTTTTGCCGATGCAACTATTTCTGCAGAGTCGCCTGTTGTTTGCTTCTGCAGAGTTATCTAAGTTGAGTACTTAGGAATGCTACAAGTTACTACTAAATTTTATATGCGTGTTCAAAGATGACATATAGTGCCGTTATTTTATATTAAAGATGACATGTAACTGTCCTTGATTTTCAAACATTATTCATTTGGATTGGTTTGAAGTGCTTCTGTTACACACCAAGGACACAATACAAGCAAAGAGTCCCCTAACACACAGAGCATGCCAAAATTAAGGTTATCCTTGACCTGGTTAGTTCACAAAAACAAATGTTCCTCAATGGCATGCTTCTTGTTAGGAATCGCAAATCTTCGCAATGGTATGATATTGTCCCCTTTAAGCATAAGCTCTAATGGCTTTGCTTTAAACTTCCCCATAAGGCCTCATAATGGTCTAATCTTAATGGCTGTGCTTAAGCTCGCTGCTGTCTGTGGCATAACCTTCTTGATCCTATGGCCGCATGCTCTAAGTCTGTGTGGAGGGAGGGGACTACACATTTAGTTCAAGGCTTCTGTTTTTGTATCTTGAGAAGTATTCATGGATCCAAATTGGTAAGTGGAAGTTTGTTTTCAGTCCTGTCTCTGCTGTACAGTTGGTGTTAAACAAGTTGGTGAACCTTGTTGTAGATTGTGTGTGTACAAAAATGATTTGAATCTTAATGTGTTGAAAGTAGAATCTTGATATGTTAGACAGGAAAAGAGAGAGACCTGAAGAAAACACATGCTTTTGCAAGCTACCAACTACTTTTACTTCTAGGTGTACAAAAGGCACGCGGATAATTTATTCTCGTGCTAAATCCTTCCAACTTTGTACCAAAAAAACATAATCTCTTTGTGCATACGAGCCTTTTGATTAAAATTTTATTTATGGTGCTTGAGAATGTGATATCTATAAATATGATGTATGAGAATGTGATATCTATAAATATGATCGAAGACTTTTTTAAAATATTTCATTTAGCGATGAATAAAAAATAACAAATTTTAGAGCAATATCAAAATTATTGATAGTTAAAATGTTAATATCATTATAAAATTTAAAATTAGTAAAAATCAAACATGCTATATCATTATAAAATTTAAAGTAAATGAAAAGTTGCCAACCCAGCCAACAAATGCTAGCCACCTTCCAATAATTTTTTTTTCGTATATAATATTTATCTTTACCTAAACCTTAAAGCTCAACAAATATATAATTAAAAAAAAAAAAAAAAGTTGACTTCTCCTATTGAGAAGATAAATCATAATAATTGCAAAATGTTTATGACATAGTTGTATTACTAGTTGGACTAATTGAAATATTCAAATTGAATCGACCAACTAAATTATATTTAATGTCATTTTATAGGTTAGTTTAATTAAATATTAGAGATAAAATTTGATAGACTTTTAGTTTTTAACGATTTAGAGCTTCATTTTTGTTAGACGAACACGACTCTCCACAATGGTATGATATTGTCCACTTTGAGCATAGCTTTGCTTTAGGCTTCCCAAAAGGCCTCATACTAATGGAGTTAGTATTCCTCACTTATAAACCCATGATCATTCCCTAAATTAGCCGATGTGGGACTTTCATCATCCAACAATCTTAAGATAATAATTATATTACCCCGTGAGATAAATTATGAAAAGATAAATAATTGTATTTTATATTCTAAATAAGTTTTTTCTTTTTTATTCCAATCCTGATGCTCATCTGTGGGGTTTATTTGGCTGTCTCTGAAGAACAAAAAAACAAAATAATTTGTTTTAGTTTTCATATTAATTGAACAAATAAAATAAATAAACCAGAAGCCAAGTTACCGATGGAAAATATTTCAAAGTTGGAATAAAATAAAACTCGTTTTAACTTTTAATATTAATTGAAAAAAATAAAATAAATAAAACAAAGACAGAGTTACATAGGGAAAAATATTTTAAAATTTGAATAAAACAAAACTACATAATTTATTTTAATTAGTAGGGAAAACGGTTTAACTTTTAATATTAATTAACAAAATAAAATAAATAAAACAGAGAGAAAATATTTCAAAATTTGAATAAAACAAAACCTATTTTTACATTTCTGACTATTAAAATGACACGACATTTTAGTCCAAACGCCTTCAACTCGGAAATGGTTATATGGGTGGGTCCCACTTAATTTGTAATTTATTATTTGTTTTTTTCTTCTCTTCGTAAGAGTAGGTAGGTATTACTCTAAGACATGAAGAAGGCTTTACATGATAAGTTGTATATATTATAAGAAATAAATGTCGCATTTAAGTAATATTGAAACATACTAATAAAAAATAAAATAAAAGATTTTTAAACGTATGATATTAATATCAATTTATAAATTAAAGCTGCATTTAATTCTAAAAAACCGTATTTAAAGTTTGAAAATATATAATTAAAAAATACAGCTTTATTACTATATTCAATTGTGGCTGCCACAAAAGGTTAAATTATTTAATATATCAATTTAAAAAGTTTCCTGGCATCTACCACAAGGCCGCTTAAGTAAATAAAAAATAAAGATATTTTCAAATTTTCAAATTTTATGGATATTTTTTAATATTATTTAAAAAAAATTTATGTATATTTTTAAAGATATTTTTAAACTCTTTAAAAAAATTGAAAAGATATTTATGAAATATATTTTTTAAATAAATTATAAAGTTTAAGATCGCTTTTGTTAATTTAACCGATGTATTACTCCTTTTATTTTATCATTGAAAATTATATAATATTTGTAAAATAATAAGAAGTACCGCCCACTATTTGATTAAATATAAATATATATATATATGAACAAACTATTTGATTTGAGCTAAAAAAAAAAAAAAAAAAAGATGATTAATTAAAGAAATATAAAATAAGTGAGCAATGAAAAAATAAAAAAGAAAAGAAAAGAGGGAAGGACGGCAAATAATGACAGAACACGAGTCGACGTGATTTTGAAGCCTCGTGGATTGATTGTTACAGTGAAAATAAAGAGAGAAAAAAAAAAAAAAGAAAAAAGAAAAAGAGAAAATAATTTGGATGTTATTTTCATATGTTAATTTTGGTTGGTTTAAATACGTCGTTGTCTTCTCTCCAAACCCTCTTCTGGTCTGATACACATCCTGGGTCGCTTCTCGTCCCATGATTATTGCAGATCAGGTCGCGGCAACCACCACTACACCTCTTCTCGCTTTCTTCTTCTTCTTCCGTTTCTCTCCTCTCAGACCTCTCCTCCCTCTATCACTTCCCTTTCTAGGGTTTATGCCGTCCACCTTCCTCTTCCTCTTCCTTCTGCAGGGCTCCGATGTCGTCTGCCGTTACCGCTGCTTCTTCTTCCTCCTCCTCTCTTTCTACCAAGCCTTGCTATAATTCCGACTGTAAAGAACTTAGACCTGACCGCTCCAGAAAGGGATGGCGTCTTCGCACCGGCGACTTTGCCGAGCTCTGCGATCGATGCGCGTAAGTTAATCTTTCTACTTTTATTGATTGTGTCTCTCTCTCTCTCTCTCTCTCTCTCTCTCTCTCTCTCTCTTACTCGGCTTGTCCTGTTATAAGCTTGGAGGTTCATTTGTGCGTGTTTTTGCGTTCTTGGAGGTTTATTTGGGTGTGTTTTTGTGGTCTTGGAGTTTTGTTTGCTTGTTTTAATGCAGGTAAGGAGAAGGGGCATGTCTTTTCCCCCCTTCACTTTAGTAGTCCAGGCGCCGTCTTTTTTTTTTTTGACACTGGTTTCAGTCGTGGCTTTATCTTTTTCTTATCTAGTTTCGAGTTTACCGTATTGAGGTTCTGTGAATTGGTTTACGAAGCTCACTGAAGTACGGATATAGTTTAAGTCCATTACAGAGAGTTTTCCGACGTGTGGGGTTGAGGAATAACTATCAGCAATTCTTGTTATGATATTCGCAAAGCGACTATCACCTTTCTCTTTGATTTGTTCTGAATCTTCTTGTCATTCTTAATAGTTTGTTTGGAAATTATTTCCTTCTAAGAACTTGGAGAGGCATTGGCGTATTAACATTTTTTTCTATCTTTTTCTTTGTGCGCCGTGCTCATTTATCTTGCTTAAGACCTTCAACATGACAGGTCGCTTGGATAGGCATATATATATATATATATGTTGTAATAAGAATTTTGAACAGTAAATTTAGCACATGGGATATTCATACTATACAATATGATGCGTGCATGTTGATGGATTTAGGACATTCTGATTAAGGGTGCAGAAAAGGTAGGAAGTAAACAGATGTCAT